ACCTCCATGGAGAATGGGCAAAGCCTGGGGGCTGCTGGCGAGGCATCAGGACGTCCCCCCCCCCGGGCAAGGGTGGGCACTTTTTTCCCCACCAAGAGGCTTCCTCAGAGCTTAGAAGACTGAGGGAAGGCTGGAAACTTTTCCAGGCCCTGAACTCAAAGCCTCAGCTGATTGGAAGCAGGAATAAACCGAAGAAGGGGCCACTTGAGCATGTGTGGAGTGCCTTTTGTTAAGGATATAGTGACGAGGGGGGCCTGCCTCTGAGCATGTGAAGAGTGGAACCCTCCCGGGGGGCGGGGGAGCGAGCGTTCTCCGAGGCGGGCCAAAATGGCGCCGCTCCGGTAACTATGGCGACGGCCGCCCAGGCCTGCCCCCGCCTCCTTTCGCGGGAGAGCACGTGACAGCCCCCCCCTCAGCCGGGGGCCGGCTGCGCTCACGTGACGGGCCGAGGTACAGCGCACGTGACCGGCCCCCTTTAGAATTCGCCGCGGGAGAACCGGCTCCGGGGGTGAAATGGTTGCCATAGAAACGGGGCTCGCGATCCCCCTACCCCGCCGCCTCTTCTTCTTCTTCCTCCTCGCCCTGTGGCTGCTGGCGGTGGCCGCCGAGGGATCGCCCGCAGGTTTGCGCAGAGCTTGGCCTCTCCCATGGAGGGGAGGGGAGAGGAGAGGGCAGACTTTAAAAAAAAAAATTAAAATAAAATAAAAATTGGACTACAACTCCTATTATCCCCCAGCCAGTAGGGTCCGTGATCCTAGGAGATGCAGTTCCCCAAAAGCACCTTTTGCAGTGGGTGGGGGTCGTTGGACTAGAAGGAGACTCTGCCTGGGTAGCATGCTTCCTACCACTGAATAGCATCACCTTTTCTTAGGCTTGAAAAGTGCTACAAGATTTATTGTTATTGATTTTACTGCAACAGGTACACACTTAACACAACCACCCTGTTAATAACATTGTTTTTTTTTTACTCCCCCCCCCAGCTGCTATTTGTAAACTGACTTTAAAAACGTAACTGCTCTCTCCCACTTAAACTTGAAATGAAAATATACATTGCATTTAATGGTTTGCCTTACAGTATAAACACTGGCCTAGGAAGCAAGGTAATTGCAGGAAGCGAAGGAAGTGAAATGCAATTTATATTTTGGGATGGGGGAAAAAAGGTAAAAGACCACTCCTTAGTGTAAGGAAAGTGAGGAACTGAACTCAGTGTGTTTGCCCAGTTAAGTGTTGCCTTTATTTGGCTGCTTTTCCTTTAAGGGGAAAAAGGATATTGTCCTCTTAAACTTCACTCCAAGCTTTAAAAATGTACTTCTTTCCCTCAGGTGACAGAACACCCCAACCGGTTTTTCAAGAGAAGTATTTCGAGCAGTGGCTGGACCACTTCAATTTTGAAAACTATGGCAACAAAACCTTTCCCCAGAGGTACCTCATCACAGGTAGGCTGTCAGTTGGAAGCAAGGAGGGCGGGGGGAGATGCATTGACTTATAGAAGAACGTAAGATATCTGCTGGATCAGATCAAGGATCTTGTGAGAGCAGAGACCACGTTTCTACAGAGGTCGACGTAGTGCCTCTGGAAATCCCCACCAGCTGCAAATAAGTCCCAGGAGGTCTCTATGTTCCTCGGAGTCAGTGGTTTTTAACTTTTCGTATCTTTCTCACCAGTCACGTTGTCAAAGAACGGGAGACCCATCACCACCCTGCTTTCCTCCAAAATAGACATTGATAAGTTTTATGTAGCATTGGTTGCAGCCGCTGGACTGAGTTCTCATAAAGCGCTTCTGCTGTCTCTTTCATGCACAGATAAATTCTGGGAAAAGGGAAGGGGACCCGTCTTTTTCTACACCGGGAACGAAGGAGACGTGTGGGGCTTTGCTCAGAACTGCGGCTTCATCCTGGAGCTGGCCGAGGAGCAGAAGGCCTTGGTGGTCTTTGCCGAGCATGTGAGTGGTTTTTGTCGACCTTGTACGGTCAAGGGCATCCTGTGGCCTCTTTGACGTGGAATACGTCGGCAGCAGGCGCTTGAGACGTGTCCTGTGCTTCTTCTGTACCTGGTTTTGCAGAGGTATTATGGGAAGTCGCTTCCGTTCGGAGCGGCTTCGCTGGAAGGAAAGAATGCCGGGCTGCTGAGCGTCGAGCAAGCCCTTGCTGACTACGCCGGGCTCATCACTGAGCTGAAGAAGCAGTACGGAGCAAGGGACTCACCTGTCATCGCTTTTGGAGGCAGGTGAGTTGTGTTTTTGGGGAATCATAGGCCAAAAAGTTAGCGAGAGGGAACCCCTGGCTGTTCTCTTTCATCTGAGCAAGAAAGCAGCTCTGTGGAGTCTCTCCCCCTGGTAAGAACTACGGCCCACTTCTGTCCCTCTTTTTTCCCTCCCTGCAGTTATGGGGGAATGCTGAGCGCCTACATGAGAATGAAGTATCCCAACCTTGTAGTGGGCGCACTGGCGGCCAGTGCCCCTGTGCTGTCTGTGGCTGGGATCGGAGAGTCCAACCAATTCTTCAAGGACGTCACGTTGGTAAGTGGATGTTTTGGTTGGCTCTGTTGCCTCTTGGATGCCAGAAATCCCACGTTTCCCCCACTTGCCGCTGGTTTTCCTTCGGAGTTGTGGATAGCAACAAGATTTTCTTTTCAGGCAGCCATCCTCTCCTTTAACTGGCCGCTCTCGATCTACAAAAAAAGAGAGCGTTGGTGTTTGTATGGAAGAAGCTTCCTCCCCCACTTCTCTGTTCCTTTGATCGATGCGTTGGTAAAATTAGCCCACTTCAGAATGCTGGGGGGGAGGGGGAAGAGGCTTGATTGGCAAGTGTAAGTAAATTACAGTGGGGAAAGTGGTCATTTAGTGGATGAAATCAAAATAGCCCAGGCAGGATCGTTTATATTCATTGGTGAGGCTGAGAAGTCACCCTGGCCTCCCTCCTTCCTTTGGTGGCTTTTCATTGAAGGAGGGACTTGGCCTTTTTCTTTCAGGATTTTCAGAACTACAGCCCAGATTGTGCCCAGGCTGTGAGGGATGCGTTCCGGCAAATCAAAGACCTGCTCCTGGATGGAGGTAAAGTGCATGCACGCACACGTACACACCTCTGTTGCGAAGCACCCTTCTGAACAAGTGAGGTTTTGTGTTTGGAGCTCATGAGACTGCTCTTGTAGGCCTCCTGCAGTCTCAAGAGACTACGGTAACGTGTTCTGAATAGAGGACTTGGAACAGGGCCTAGTGTGGCTGAGAAGGCCAATTCAAGACTGACAATCCCTTCCACACTGAAGACAAATCCAATCTGTCCCCTGTCCAGTTCCCTGATTTTGCTGCTTTCATAACTGCCTCTTTGCCTCGGCCTGCTGGACAAGGGTCTCTTCAAATTGGGAGAGGCCATGATGCCCCGCCTGCCTCCAGGCTGAACGCTCAGAGGTCAAGGTTCCCCATCTGTTGAGATCCATTCCTAAGGCCTTCAGATCCCTGCTTGTAGATGTCCTTGTACTGCAGCTGTGGTTTCCCTCTGGGGCGCTCTCCCTGCACTCATTCTCCATACAGGAGATCTTTTAATCTAGACTGCTCTAGATTAAAGCCATTGCTGTACTGCTTTATCTAGGAAAGTGACGTTCTGGAGGGTTCACAGAGGACCGTATTAAGAATCTTAATGCTGAGTCTGATAGCTTAAATGAGGACAACAGGGAAACTGTGGAACAGATGTCAGATTTCGCCTCTAGGGAGTTGAAACAAAAACTACTCCTCATTTGAAGAAATCTTTCCAGTGCAATCGTGTGCATCCTTACCAAGAAGTAGACCTACTGGGTCCAAGGGGGCTGACTCCATGTTAAGTGTGTGTCTCTAGGGAGGGTAGACTTACAGACCTAAGTCCAAGGGGGACAGCCGCTGAGTGAGCACGACCTGGATCACGCTGTGTCTTTCCTTCCTTTTTTTGCTCCCACATCCAGCTTACGAGCAAATCGGCAGCAAGATGTCTACCTGCCAGAAGCTTTCCTCGGAAGCCGATGTCTACCAGCTCTTTGAATTTGTCCGGAACGCCTTCACCATGATCGCTATGATGGACTACCCTTACAAGAGCGACTTCATGGGCCACTTTCCAGCGTACCCTGTCAAGGTAGGAGGGCGGGAGAGGTGCCTTCAGCTGAGTGTGTGTGTGTGTGTGTGTGTGTATGAAAAGCCCCCTCCCGGCTCCCCCCTCCAGGCCCCCAGACCCTTGCCCACATTCAGCTCTTCACTGCTGCCTCAGGCACCCGTTCTCCCGAAGACCCTCCTACCAGTTTTGGGTTGCCCTTTGCAACCCTGAGAACCTAACCCAGCGGGGCCTCTGTGTGTGAACCCAGGTCGGCTGTGAACTGATTCTGGCAGACAAGGACCGGATCCGAGGCTTGGCGGCTCTGAGCGGTGAGTAGGAAGCCCGCATCAAAGGCTGCATCTCCTCCCCAGCTTTGGGTTTGAACCTAAGCTCACCCATGTTTAACGATGACGGGGGCTGCTTCCCGATGATCTGTCAAAGGTTCTCAACCTTTAGCACTCCCGGTGTTTTGGGTTTCAAGCTTTAGGAAACCCCGCTCAGCCTGGGAGAGTTGAAGTCCAAAGCAGCAGGAGATGCCGAGGCCGAGAACTGCTGGGGCTGTTGGTAGCGTCTAGATTTTGATTATAAGACTCGTGGGAGGAAAGCCGTGCCATGAAAATCACAATGGAGAGGGCCCAGAACAGCTTCCTTAAGAGGAAGAGAGAAGTGTGCAAAAAAACCCTTCCCCGATCCTTGGGAATTGGGGTTGAAAATGTCCGGTTCTGCTATACAAAATCCCGTTCTGCGCTGGAAGTCCAGAACGATTCCAGGGGTGCAAGTATTTTCCAAAACCCCACCATCTTTAGTACCACTTCACAAACAGCCATAAACTTGTGGTTTTTAAACAAGAAACAGCTTCAGAAGAGGGACTGGGAACAAGGATGATGGCTCAAGTCCCCCTCTCACGTGGTCCCCCCTCGTGCTCAACGGCAGCTTTTCCCAAGAGCAATTTACACCCACCTGGTCTGAAAGCTGATAGTTAAAATACATTGGCTACGTACTTCCCCATCAGATGCCTTGGCTGGCGCTTGAAGCCTCCCTCCCTCCTGAGGGAACGTGCGTGCTGGTGATGAAGAGGTTGAGGGTGGACGTCTTCTTGATGGTGACTGAAGCCTCTTCCCTCTCCTCCTGCCGTTCGCCCGTGATCCAGCAGGGCAGCCGCGCGAAGCAGGAAGCGTGGTCTGCCAAGGCCACCGGAAGGGAGCCCGCCTTCTCCCACACCTTCTCGCCCGGGTCGCAGATGAAGACGCCGTCCTCTTTCGTCCTCCGTTGCAGGGCTCCCCCGCCCGTGATGTACATTTGCAGCTGGTGAACGGCAAGGCCAAACTGGCAGAGGTCAAAGGCTGAGAGGTGGAGCAGGGCCCACTGATCAGTGGCCGGGCAGTAGAACTCGGTCTGGTTGACAGGGACCCACTCCCCAGCCTGGAAAGGAATCAACAGCACAGACGGTCAGCGGGCCGGATCCAGCCCTTGTTCGATGAAGCTCAGCAGCCTTCAAAAGTCAAGTTGACTAAGGAGCGAGCCCGTTGTATGAAAACGGGATGGGGGAAAGGAGCCCGGTTGCTAAACTCAGTGGCCGGGCAGTAGAACTCGGTCTGGTTGACAGGGACCCACTCCCCAGCCTGGAAAGGAATCAACAGCACAGACGGTCAGCGGGCCGGATCCAGCCCTTGTTCGATGAAGCTCAGCAGCCTTCAAAAGTCAAGTTGACTAAGGAGCGAGCCCGTTGTATGAAAACGGGATGGGGGAAAGGAGCCCGGTTGCTAAACTCGAGCGGATCCAGCCCTTGTTCGATGAAGCTCAGGGACTCGGCAGCCTTCAAAAGTCAAGTTGCCTAAGGAGTGAGCCCCTTGTATGAAAATGGGATGGGGGAAAGGAGATTGGTTGCTAGAATCGAGAGGATCTCATAGACTACAGAGACCCTGAACAGTTGGCCTGCGGCCATCGTTTTTGTCTTGAAGACTATCCAAATTCCAACCTACGTTTGTCAGAGCCCTTCCGCCGACACAGAAGATTCGGTCCCCGACGGTTGCCATCCCGTGGTCGCACCGGGCAAAGGTCATCGGCCGGTTCTTGATCCACCGGCGCAGGCGAGAGAGGTAGCTGTATGTCTCGCATGTGGTCTTGCTGGCTGAGAAACCCCCTGATGCAAAAGAGGGAGAAAAAGAGGGCGGGCAGGGTCAGATCTGCGCGCTTGCCTTCTTGGGGGGTCTTTTCCCTAGATGCTACGAAGTAAAGGAATGGAAAGTATCGCATGTGCCACTAAGCTAAAAGTTCCCATGATGAAAAATCAGGTGGTGGTCGTGAAAATAAAAGTTGGGGAAAATCCAACAGCCCAAAGACCGGATGCCGGCTCTGCGGTGACCAACGGGCAGAACCAAAAGGTGCCTGCAGGTTTTAGCTTACAGCCCTCTCTGCTTCTAAGACTTAAGGCACGCATTTCAGTCTTTTAAGGCATGCGGAGGGAAATCTGTGAGAAAGCTAGGAAGCCAGTAAATGATGGTGTCACGGGGAAGGGGAGAGCCCTTGGCGGAAGCCAAAAGTGCCAGATTGGGCGGTAGATGTCAGCGTCTGTTGATGGGCTAGGAGTGGGTGCACCTGGTGGCCCACTCTGCAAGGTGGGAGGTGGTGGTAAAAGATCGGTTCTCCCCCAACAAGGCAGCCTCTAGGCCAGGTGGAAGCGGCCCCCTCACCTGCCACGTAGAGGATCCCCTTGTGGCTGGCCCCCGCGTGGTCAGCCACAGGCGCCGGGAAGGGTGGGAGGGTCCGCCATTCGTTGTCCATGGGCTGGTACTCCTCCGCTGTGTCCGTGAGGGTCCCCAACAGCGCTCCTCCCCCCACAGCCACCAGGCGGTCGTTCAGCGCCCCCGCGTGGAAGCGCGTCCGTCGTCCCTGCATGCTTGCTACTTGCAGCCAAGCGTTCTGCCGAGGATCGAACCGGAACACCTGAACCCGGGAGAGTGAAGGGTGTGTGTGTTAAGGATTGTCATGCAGCAGAATTTATTTAAAGAGGAAGCAGATTCCTTGGCGAGAAATCTGTNNCCCCCCCCCCCCCAGCCCTGTGCCTTTGATACCAAAAATGGCTAACTCTACATGGGCTGTAGTAATAGTGTACTGAACCCCTTTCAAGTGAGGGTCGGCTTGTGCACGTCCTAGCCACTGTGGACTTCTCTTAAAAGGTTTGCCGTGGTGCTCACCTTGTTGGAAGGGCACTGTCCCGTAGGATCAAACCTCTCCTGGCCGCCCAGCACAAAGATAAAGTCTCGGAGCACAGCCACGCAGTGGTTGTACACCGGCCCGTGGAGTTTCCCAATCCTCTTCCACGAACGGCCACTCGGATCGGCTGCCCAGACGTCGTCACGGAGGGCGTTGTCCGCGGACCTGCCGCCAAGGATGAGCAAGGAATCTGCGCCGGCACGGACCTGCGTCCTCTCGCTTTGGAGTACCGGCTGTGCGTACGGCTGGGAGTGATAATCCAAGGCCTCTAGAAGGTACCGCCGGCAAGCAGGGTCCGTCTTCATGAGAGACACGTTCTGGACAAACTTCTGCAGATCTCGGAGGGGTATAAGGGGAAACCGGATATGTCGCAAGACAGCAGCTGCGTCCTTCAAGCGCGTGCTGTCGTGGTGCAGCCAGCACACCGCTGCGTGGAACAGCTCCCGCTCCGTCAGATTTCCGACCTCAGCCCCATCTAGGATCTGGCACAGAGTCGCCTCGTCTAGCTCTCTCAGCCGGGCCGAATCTGCCAGGATTTCGCCGCCGTGCCTCCTGACGCAGCGCAACGCTTTCTCCACCAGCTCTTTGGGCCCGAGACGCCTGGAGACGTGGAGGATCTCCAGGCAGCTGCGCGGATTCAAGCCATCCTCCAGAAACCGGAAGCAGAGGGTCATCACCTCCCGAACGAGCAGCCCCTCGGCCGCCCTGAAGGTCTCCTCGAGTGTTGGGAGGGTCAGCTCCAGTCGGTTGGAGTAGAGGAAAGAGAGGACGTTTCGCAGACCCCGCGCCGTGACGCCAGCCAGCTTGAGTGGAGCGTCGGGGCCCGCGCCGTCGCCCTCGAGGAAGCGCATCTTGCAGTAGCTGCTGGCTGCAGCCAGGACGGCCTTGTGCGCCGGGAAAGAGACCTGCTCCGCTTCCAGGGTCACGTCACAGAGCACGTTCTGTGAGCGCAGGCTCTCGAGTCCTTCCAGGAGCCTGGGCAGGTAGGTGTCGGAGGCAAGACTCTGGCCCTGGGGCCAAACCGGGTCGCCGAGGGACATCCTTCCAGATGCAAGTGCGTGGCAGTCCCGGGGACGGTGGTGGTGTTTCAAGCTCACCACGAGTGTCAGGGACTCCCTTTCAAGTCTAGAGGCATCGCTGTTGAATTTGGAAACGGAGCTTTTTCCAGACGCCACCACTAGCTGGACTGGACGGGCTTGTGTTTGGCCTGCCGTGTTTCTTCTTTTCCCTGGGCGACTAGGGAGAGCAGATCAGCTGATGTGTCATTTCCAAGACACCCCCGTCCTCCCCGGGGCCTATTCATGTCCACAAACGGTGCAAGTGCCTGCTCAGCTTCCCGGTCACGCTTGAAGGGGGTTTGTGGCACGGCCAGGTCACAAGCCCGGGCTTGCCTCTTGTTCTTTCAGAATCCTCGTTGCCTCGGGAGCCAAGGATTCTGACGGTGTCGGTGCCGAGACAGGCTGGATTAGGTTATGAGCAGCAGCTAGGGGGCAGCACAGGAAGGACCGGACTTGGCTTTCAGCTCTAGTGTCAAAAGAGTTTGCAAAAATATGGCTTTTTATACCTTACAGCTCCCGCAACCCTTTCCCCAGCCATCACGGCCACTGGGGGATTTTCGGAGGGGTTCGTGGCTTTTTAAATCAGTGATGGGATTTGTATTCCAAGATCCCAGTGGAGGGACCCGAGCTTGTGAGATGGAACAAACCCATCATCCTGCTCTCCTGCTCCTTGCGCTGTCTTTGAAGTCAGCCGTTCCTTTCTGGAGAAACAGGCTGGCTGTCAGTACCAAAATCACCCGTGTCCCTCTCTGCTTTGTTTGCCTAGGATTGTTCTACAACGCCACAGGGGCGGCTCCGTGTTTTGACATCTACAAGCAGTACCGGAAGTGTGCCGACCCGACCGGCTGTGGTACTGGCTTGGACGCGGAGGCGTGGGATTATCAGGTCTGTTGTTGGGATTGGGGGAGAAGGATGGGATTTAATAGAGCAGCCCTTTGGGCCATTAAGAGCGCTGTGGCATCAGGTAGCAGGGAGTGGCTTAAGATAAGTGCTGCGTGAAGAAGCTCAGAGATGGTGGGGCTTCACCGTTTAGGGGCTATGAATCTTTACGGAGTCCCCTTCTCCTGATCCTCGGTGGAACCTCCCTCTGCTGCAGCATCCGGACAGACTCCAAGAGACAGAATATTAGATCCACGTGAAGGAGACAGAGCCTCACCTCTCTGTGGCATCTGAGACGCTTCCTCCTTCGTTTTTCCCAGGCTTGCACCGAGATCAACTTGACGTTCGACAGCAACAACGTGACCGACATGTTCCCAGAAATCCCCTTCCCCGAGGCTGCCCGGGAAGATTACTGTTTCCGCAGATGGGGGGTTCGCCCCCGGCCATCGTGGCTGCGGACCAGCTTCTGGGGGGACGGTGAGCCGTGGTGCCTCTTTTCTTGGTTTGCGCTCTCTCTTGGAGCGGGGACCACAGCTGGCTAGTAGCCCGGAGCCCTCCGAGCCAATCCTGGCCAACTCCTTGGTCCGGATCCGGAGGGCAGAGAAGGGCTTTGAGGAAAGAACAAGGCCAGTCACCCTGGCAATTCTGCACTCATTTTCCAGCTGCACCTGAAGAATTCTGCACTCATTTTCCATCTGGCCATTGAGGCATTTTCTGTCCAGCTCAGCCGATCATCCAACTGTTTTTTTTTTAAATGTTGTCAGATCTGGCAGCTGCAAGCAACATCATCTTTTCCAACGGAGACCTGGATCCCTGGGCTGGTGGAGGGGTAAGGTTTCTCAACCGATGCATGCCGAGAGGCCCTTGCTCCTGGCCTGTTCACTAGACCCTTTCTCATCGCCCAGCTTCCATGCAGCAGTCCCCAAACTTTTTGGGGCTGCGGACTGGCTGTGGGGAGTGAGCTCCATGCACGGGGGGGCTGGGGGCACATCACGCTCATGTGATGTGTGTGTTGTGCTCGTATGCATGTGTGCGAGTGCAACACACCTGCTGTGTGGGGGATGCAGATCCGTATCTGTGGCCCAGTTCCGGCAAGCCCACAGACCGGCACCAGGCCGCGGACTGGGGGTTGATGACCCCTGCTTTAAAGGGCTTCTGAAAATTCAACTTTCCAACATGTCTTGGCAGGTTAGAAAGAACCTGAGCCCCTCGGTGATTGCCATCATGATTAAAGGAGGCGCCCATCACTTGGACCTCCGGTAGGTATCATAGAAATCAGGAGGGGCAGGAGAGGCAGGGCTAACCCCCTGGGGGGGGGGGCTGAGACTGAAGGGTGCAAAGGAACAGATCCCTTCCCTGCCTCCAGAGAGGCCAGGATTCTTCTCTTCTCCACAAGAATGCTAAACACACCTTTATCATCTTCGCCTCCTTCTTTTCCCGTGTAAAGATACTGCAGCATTTCAGCAGGTAGCTGGGCAATTAAAAATCAAGAGCCAACCCTCACTAGCTGTGATAGCTAAGAGAGCCTCCGTGTTCAGAGGCAGGCTACCTTGGAGCACCATGTGTTGCGGGCAGACATTTTGAAGAAGAGGGAAGGCTGTCACTTGGGTGTCATTTTTGTGTGTGTGTGTTTCCCACTGTGGGGAACAGGGCACCCACCTGCACGTCCCTTTCTATCTGGAGTCCAGCAACGCTCCTCTTAAGGGCTGAGCCTCCTGCCTTATCATCACTCCCATCTCTTCCAGCAAGACCAGATCTCTTAGAGTGCAGATCCCCTCGCTTCTCGATTCCAAAATGTGACCTCTTCTCTGAGTTGGGGTGGTTGCTCGCCGGTAAAGGAGGGGGTGACCTTCGCAAACCCCCCACCCCCACCCGCTATGCATGCACTCCATACAGCCTGGTGTTTCCACAGTGCCTCCAACCCAGCGGATCCACCCTCGGCCATAGAGGCTCGCCGGCAAGAAGCACAGATCATCCTTGGCTGGGTAAGATCCACCCGCACCAAGAAAGGCTCCCCGGGAACTCTCCAGGGAAGGATTCCCCATCACCATCTGGCCAGCCTTTAACAAGACGCACCAGTGCCAGCGTTTTTGTGCCTAAACTAGCCGGATGTCCCACCGCCTGCCCGCCATGAGAACTGGGTCGTGTCCTGTCCAGGCAGTGACGCTTCTGAGTCCCAGTGAAAATAAAAACTGGAAAAGACCTTCTTGAAAGCTGCCTCCTGCTTGGTGTGGGTTTTCTGAGGGGTTGCGAAAACAAGCAGCCCCTTTGGCTTGCTAGAGTCTGGGGTTACAGCTCTTGTCTTTACATAGATCAGTGTTCCCAGGTCATAAAAGGCAGACGCCTAGAATACTGATGAGAAACAAACAACAACAAAACGCACAAGGTCATAGCTTATCATTCAAGTTAAACTAAAGTGGGAAAAGAGGTGAAAAATCATTCTGAAGAGAGAGACCCGTCAATACCACTTGGCAGTTGGGCCCTGGCTCAGCCTTGGGGGAGTTTTTCATCAGAATCGGGAAGAATAAATCTAGGGTGCTTACCCCCCACCCAGAAGGCACCGCTTTTATGGTATTCAGATCTTCACAAGGGGCCAAAATGGTGTTCTTAGCCACAGCTGTCGGTCTGGAGGGATCTCGGCTCTGCTTGGACGGGGGACCATGGGGATCTCCAGGTTGGCCTAGGAAGAAACCCAGTGGCGGTATCTCTCATTGCTCTTTAAAAAAGTGAGCCAGTCATCTCTCCCCAGTAGGCTGAGGCCAGGCCAAGGGGAGGGCTTTACTCTTGCACTGCCAGCATCTTGAGTTAAGCAAATGACTCCTGCACATCCTGGTCAGAGCCTGGCTGATTTCGGCACATCATCAAACTAAACCCGTCTTGGTGCCCCCGCCCAGAGATCAATCAGTGCACAAGCACGATGAGGCAAGAGAGGACACTGGGTATCAAAATAAATTACAGGTTTATTAAAGTGGAATAGAACTCTGCACATTCGCTCCCGAGTAATACAAGAGGGGATCTGACTTGATTTCATCTTCTAAATCTTGCAAAGGTGAGGTACACTTGAAAAATCTCTTGCACATTCGCAAAGGAACTTGTGGTGTATTCGCTTTTGAACAAATCAAACCCACCGGATAAAAGGCCAAGAAGGAGTCAGGGTTCAGGAGGAAAGGAGGTTGGGTTTTGTTTTGTTTTTAAAGCAGTTCTGCAAGAGAAGCAGGTGGGGTTGCTGGGGAGCAATACAGTGAGCTTCTGTCACCGCAGAGGAGCAAACGTAGCAGCGTGAGATGGTGGGGGCTGTAAAAGGTCTCTTCCCGTCCCCTCTCCTGCCAAGTATCCAAACAGCTCCTTGTTGCTCAGTTTTTGTGCCGTTTTTTTCAACAGAAGAGCAGAAGCTAAGAGACGCTTCTTCCACCCCCTCCCCCCGGGGAGAAAACACAGGAGGGTCAACCCGCAAGGTTTAGGGGCTGTGCGAACCTAAGGCGTGTCCTTAGGACTTGATGCTACATGTCCACCCCATCCTGAAGCGCAGAAAATGAAATGCTTGTAGAAGTGCCAAGCGATGCAGGGCTAGGCAGCCGGAAAGCTTCCTGTGCTTGAAAAAAGGGGACAGGAAAGGAAGCGGAACGAACAAGCAAGGCTTAACCATTGCAGGGAAGACACAGTGGACGTCCCTGTCCAAGCCAGACGCGTGAGGAGGGGGCTCAGGATTTTGCACCCCTCAAAAACCATTCTGCAAATGGAGGGGGGGCATTTAGCTTTGAGCCTCGGGGAAGGAGGAAGAGACTTGCCTGCACGCCTGCCTCCCTGCGAGCCTCTTGAGCCGTGCCCTGGCTTCTGCCAGCAGCTTGGAAAATGACTTTTTGGACATAAGCTCCCGGAAATGGGTCCTGCTGGCAGAAGCACCTGGAGATTTTGCCTTGGCTTCCGCCCGCCTGCAGATGGAAACCCCTGCTTCCTTGCTTCTGTGCTCCAGCAGCTGCCCACCCTGCTTCCCTTTGGACGCAGAAGGCACCGGTTCAAACGAAAGCATAGGCCTCCCAGAAACAGGGCAATTGTCCAGCTTAGAGAGTATGGCTTTTAAATTCCAGAGGGCAAAGTACACAGCTTGGGGAGGGGGGGGGTAAGGGAGGAAAGGAAGGGGAAACAGAAGACACAGAAAACCACTCTTTGTTCCATTGATGCTTTTGCGGCCCCCGTCAAACCAGCCGGGGTACAAAGAGATATCCGTCGAAAGAAAAGGGCATGCAAGGCGTTTCTCTGAAAGTCCACAGTTACAGGAGGAGGAGGACGCGGAGCGTACATAATCATTAGAACTTCTATTGCACTTCGGACACTTGTAGGCTCTTCCCCCCCGAATCCTAACCACACCGCGGCAAGGCAGAGCCAGCGTCACTATCCCTGTGCTTCTGGGGAGGAGGGAAGAGCCATGACTGATCATGTTGGCAGCAGGGACGACCAGACCCCGGTGGGCTTTGGGGGTTCACCATTCCACCAGCCCCAGGTACCACGTGCTCGTGGACGGCTCAAGCAGCCACGCCAACCTTGTCAGCTCCAAAAGTTTGACTTTTTGGCTATCAAGGCTGAAGATGCTCTCAGACAAAAGGCATCTTTGATGACCTGCCGTGCCAGAGTGACAGTGTCCACCCTACGGGGGGGGGGTCCCTGAAAATAAAGGATAGGCAGCTTCCAGTTGCCCCATGTCCACCTGAGCACAGCTCTCTGATGTGGCTCCCCCACTTTGCAAGAGGCTGAGTCTACGCCAACATCCTGCTGATTCCCAAGCCCCCTCCCCCCCGCTCCCCATTTATTTAAAAACCGCGTCCTACCCCAGTGGTCCCAATACACGTTTGATGGGCGGCCCAACTTCACAAATAGAAAGGACACAGGCTGAGAAAATCCACAACAAGCTACAAAAAGGCGTGAGTAAAAGAGGCCAGCGCCTCCCCCCTTGGAGACTGTGCCCCCTCCTGCAGCGACACGAATGAAGAGCTAGACGAGGAAAAAACACAAGAGCTCACAAGCAGGACATCAGAAGTGGGAGGAGGAAGCCGGGCTACGCAGGCAGAAGCGCCTGGAGACAGAAAAGCACAGACAGACAAGACGGATGGACTTTTTGGAAAGGGATCCTCTGAAGAACCCGACGGAAGTGACTGTACGAGGAGGGAAGGCCGCCCAACCAAAAGGTCCAGACACAAAGTTTTAGGGAGAAGGAAAAACCAGCCACCACTCGTGTTCTTCCTGCAGCCCCGTTATTGCACACAGCTCTGTTACCAGTTCCGACTAACCGTACAAGATGAGCACCAGCACATCACAAAAACATCCGAGACGAATTCTGTTACACAGCCACGTAACAACCAGCAAACCTGCCACATCCTTCAAATGACTCCCCCGCCCCCCAACCATCAAATCCTCAACATCTCGGCTCACTTCGATCAACGGAGAGCTCGCCCCCCCTCCTTGGGCGTTGGCAGGCCTTTTAAAAGACACCAGGCTGTTCTCTTGAGTCCTTATACCTCCAGGTCTATATAAGGCTGCCTGAGGGGAAATGGATCGGTGCCCTGAATGAATTCGTTCTCCGACTCAGGCATGACTGACTCTCCTGCGGAGAAAATGCCTCTTTGACCCCATCACAGAAACGGGACGCACAAAATGCTCGAGAGACAAGACAAAAACTCTCCTTTAGAGAGAGCGAGAGAGAAGATCTAGCTGGATCAACACAATACAATGGCAAAGCCAGCCACCTCATTCATTTCAGACATGAGTCCTGATCCGGAGGAGGAAACGGTGGTGACCTATCATTATTCCGGTCTCCGGTGACCTCAGGAAGCAGCTTTCAGTCCAATTACCTGAGCCAAAACATTATTTATATTATACGTAGAGAAAATCCTTTGTAAATAGCCTTCCCTCTGTTTTTTCTTTGAGGGAATAGGAATCTTCACATTGTCTTCCTGCATTTCTGCAGATGTGTAAAGGGCAGCCAGGTTGCAGTGGGGAGAGAAATACACAGCTATATCGCAGCACACCTACGCTGCTCCCCAGCCAAACCAGCAACTTCGACACTTAGCGTCCCTACGACACACAACCGGTGACAAACCCCCACGCCATTTTTTTAAAGATGGCTCCGTCAAAACTGAGACACCACCCAGAGATAACACTGCTTAAAAGGGGAGACTTTTTTTGTTGCTGCTGTTCTGCCGGTGGCAGAGGCCATCAGCAATCCCGTGGAGAGCCTACGTTTTAAACTAAGGGAACCTGCGGGCCGCTCCTCTTTTGCCTCAACCATATAGAAACGGTGCAGGCACATCTGACGGAATGATGCAGTCATGGATCCGGGGACGTCTGGGCTGGCTTTGCCAAGAGGAGGGCTTTGACGTGGGCTAAAGCTGCCACCACACAGTGGATCTCGCTGGGGCTCCTACCTTCTCCTCTCTGCCAGCGAAGGCTTGGCCCAGCCATTAACTACTGCTTGCCCAGCTCTGTCATGGGCATCTGTGTCCTGGTGAGGAGGGGGAGGTGAGACCTGTGCGTGAGTGTGTGTGTGTGTGCACAGATTCCAGGCTGAAGATTTCCCCTGAAGTAATCCAGGCTCCCTTTCTGATTAATTTCTGACTGGCAAGGAGAGATACCGTACTATTCTACACAGCCCAACAGGTGGAGACACGATTTGAGACCGGCCATGGGGTGGATGGACCTCAGCTGCCATTTATGCCGACGGCCAGATAGGAAAAGGGTGAGCCTCCGTGTTGAAGACGTATTTGTCGAGGTTTATCAAGTTCACGTCATCCGAGAAGAGCAAGAAAAGGTACTTGAGGGTCTCTCCCAGGAAGAAGCTCTCCATCTTGTCTCTTGGCTCAGGGTTGCTGGGGTTCTGGACGTTGTTGATGGACGTGTAGCCGCCCGTCGAGACCTGGAAAGAAGAGTCCGAGGAGCAGAGATGTGTGTGAACAACAACACAGGAAGGGAAATGCTCCTTGTGCATGTAACTAGACTGTGCACATGTCAATACAGTGGTGGCTCGCTTAACTGTGATAATCCGTTCCAGGAAAATCGCCGTTAAGCAAAAACATCGTAATGCGAAAAAAACCCCACTGAAACCCCTTCAATGCATTCCAATGGGGTCAAAACTCACACTCCAACGAAGATCCTCCACAGGGCAGCCGTTTTCGCTGCCTGTCTTGTGAGGAATCCATCCCAGAAAACAGCAGGGAGCCATTTTGTTTACCTAGCAGCCATTTTGAAACCTCCAATCAGCTGTTTTAAAATCGTCATTTTGCGAAGAATCGGTTCCCGAAGCAGGGAACCGATCATTGCAAAGGGGAAAAGCCCCGTTTAGACCATCGTTTTGGCAATCGCAATTGCGATCGCAAAAAGATCGTCATAATGTGGTTTCGTCGTAATGCGCGGCAATCGTAATGTGAGGCACCACTGTATAAAGAGATACCCTTCTGTTGGAAAGTTCCATTAGCTCCCTTATCACTTGGTTTCAATTGTTGCACCTGGCTGCCATGGTTCGATTTGAACCACTTGGAAAAGCTAATGTGAGCTGGAAAAGTGCATGAGAGAAAGAGTAAGAGAGAAAGGAAAAGAGACTTCTAAGGTAGACTGACTCTACCTGGAGGTTCCACTTGGCTAGGACTAAGCAGCAGTGGAATAAGTAACTATCCTTTTCATTGCTGATTTAGTCAACACACAAACACACACACCATCTCCACCCTGGAGTACTCCTGCCAGGTGGGAAAGGACAGGAAAGCCGAGAGGAATTTTTCCCCGGCAGCCCCGAGGTCAGTTTTACCCGTGTGTATTGATTGAAGCTTTGCAGGATCTCCCAGCCCCAGTCCTGGTACTTCTTATCGCCCGTGAATCGATACAGGTAGAAAAGGCTCTCCACGGTCTCAGGGCGCAGGAGGTTATGTCGGTCTGCAGTCTGGAGACAGGGAGAAAGAAGGTGAGACCTGGAGAGGACACCAGAAGCAGCAATGGCGTCCACCTTGGGCCAAATCTTGTGCCCAGCACAGGTTCTGCCCACCCATCTCCAGGCCCCTTCTTCCAGTCTTGAGTGCACCTGCCGAAGGGCTCACCTTTATCTCGATGTCCTTCCGGCCCTTCTGCGTGTGCATGTTGAAGTGGACAATCTCCGGGCTCAGGCCTGTCTCGACCTGGGCGTACATCTGATAGCAGGTTTCGGCCAGCTCTGCCGCCAAGGTCATGTGATCCGCCGGAAGCCCGTTGTGGGCCCCCAAAGCCAGGGCTCCCGGCAAGAAGCAGACCAGGTGATCCTGCGCAAGGGCAGACAGAACAGGGCTTGGCAAGGGGCCTTTTCGTGTTGACTCCTCGGCTGAGGCGGAGCCTCCGCTCTTTTGGTGCAGAACCTCAGATTTTGGGAAACACACACGGACGCACACCCCGGCCGTACAATCCATTCACATTGGGCACTGCTAGGCAAACCTGCTCAGCTTCTGGTGCTTGTTTGCTGCCCTGCCCTCAGTACCCTGCAGGCAGGCTTTGCTGAACAAGGTAAGGGCATACATGATCTCAGAACCATGATAGAGATTTTTAAAAAGGAAGGGAAGCGTAGAGGAACAGTGCAGACAAACCTCAGCCCCATCTTTTCCCCACGGCTTTCTCCGTCCCAATCCCCTACCCCATACCTTTAAAAAAATGGAGCCTACCATTTTATTACTGAAGCGACCGTGGGCCAGCTCCCCGACAAACGTCAGCCCTTTGGGCTGGGATTTCCGGAGAAGGTGCATCTTCACCCCTTCGATGCCCTTGACGTAGTCCTCCAGAAGCCTGCCATTCAAGAAAATGCAGGTGGTTAAGACCGCTTTTTTTAACATTCGCCCTCAGTGCTTAGCAGAAGTCGGGGACGCTATGGTTCCGAAAAGAAACTGCGCGCTTTCGAATGCCACGGTGCTTACGGCCTCAGGTCAGGTTCTATGTCCCAGGAGATCTCCTCGCATCACCGCGTGGCTTTCTCAATGCTGGGGCAGAGATCCCGGCATTAAAAGGCAACTTTAGTTTGCTTTGCGGGCAAGGTGTTTCAGCTCACTTCATGACCTGCCATTTTGTCGTGTCTATTCCCAACCTGAACATTTTATCACCTAAGACACAGCACTCTTGCCTTGGACGCTTTCATCCTCCTCCCTGCGTGAATCTGTTTAACCAACGCCAGGACGTCCTTCTTGCCTCCCAACCACCAACACCCCTTTAAAATGTTCACTGCAAACCTAACTATCAACATCTGCAGTCTGATAATTACACATTTCTATTTTACCTCCTCCTCCTCGCCTGTTCAGCCATGGGGTATAAATAACGGGTGTGTACTCCAGCTCGGCTCTGTCTGACTCACAAATCAACACAGTATACCATACAACAAAATTCACATGGGGTATAAATAACGGGTGTGTACTCAAACTCGCCTCTGTCTGACTCACAAATCCGGCTGAAAGCTACGTGGCCTTAAAAGTGCCAAAGGATGAGAGGGACCATTGCGAACCACACTTGGTTATTTCGCCACCCTGCCTTTACACCACCTAGCATGCCTGTGGCAAAAGGCTGAGACACAGAGGGTGGGGGGGGAGGCTCCTTTAGGAAGCCACAGAAAGTGCCCCCTCCAACCCGCTCCCGCTCCCCCAGGGTTAAGTTCAATCTGTCAACTTCTAGAAAGGCAAAGGTTGGGGGCAGAGGGGGGAGCAGAGAGAAGCCCACTGACTCGTCTTCCTTCTTGCCTCCCTGGATCCACTGCTTCAGCAAGTACTCGTAGTAGCTGTCTGCGCGGGCGCCGAGCGTGTAGACACCCAGGTGGGTGAACTGCCCGCTGTTAGTGTTGATAAACATGGGCACCAGGCCGTCGTTCTTGCCGGCAAGAGTGTGGACGTGTTTCATCACCCGGTCGACAGCATCCTGCGGGGGCAAAGAGAACAAACAGGAGAGTCTCTTGGGGGGGGCACTACCCTCCTCCGAGGGAAAAACCACAAAGCGGGCGAGCCAAGCATCAGTTTCCGAGTTTCAAAACCATGTAACACAACATCAACAACTGTTCTGCCCTGGGTTTGTCCTGGAAACACCAGCTGGGCCCTCTCAGCCTTTGAGGGCCATCCTTCCCCTCTTTTGATTTGACCCCGGTGCCAAGGCCCTGAGAGGCAGGCCGTCTTTGAAACAGGAGGACCCCATTAGCAAGGATGTCAAATGGACTCTGGCGAGGCATCTTTCTCCTTAGGATCAGTCGTGGAGGGCTCTCGTGGTTACCCCTCCCATAAAAGGCGGGTGAGCAAAAGATAAAGGGACTTTTTCTTCTTCATCATCATCATCATCTTCAAGCTGCAGAGCGGGAGGGGAGACCCTATGGATCATCAAGAGGCCCCATGGGGGAATCAAACCCCTAACTTCTGGCTCTGCAGCCAGACGCCTTAAACCACTGAGCTATCCAGCAGTTCTCCTGGGGGTGGCTCCACGGTTTGGGAATGGCTTACAACAGGCTAGGTGGAGGGCTTCCTGAAAACTGTACACGGTTGCTTCCTGAACTACATCTCCCAGAATCCCCCATCCTGTAGTAAAAAAAAAGAAGATAACTTTTTTAGGCTGTTTTCACTTGGGACAGTCCAGCCTACTTTGAACCATCCATGAGCCATTAAGAGGAGCCTTTATGGCTGGACAGTGCATGTCTGAGGCTAATGCTTCAGCTGCTTGGAGGCCTGAGGGCTGCGCAAGAGGGCAGCACACCGAAGGAGGAGAGGAGAGAGTCGAGCGGGGGCTTCACCCCCAGGAATACCTTGTATTTCGCTTCCCCCGTCAGTCGCGAGAGCTCTCTGAACTCCAGCTGGATGCTGGTCACTTCGGCCACGGTGCTGTCGGAGGTCCATCGGGGCGGGTGGGCCGTGCCCCGGCCAATGTTGACGTCTGAAAAGGGAATCTTCGAAGGGGTGTTGAAGGCCGGCATGAGCCTGCTCCCGATGTCTTTCTAAACAGCCAGGAAGGTGCGACATGATGGGGTGAGGAGGAGGAGGAGGAGGAGGAAGGAGCGAGAGGGAAGCAGAGGCAAGAACAGTGTTTAGAAACTGTGAGAAAGAAGGACAACAATTACAGGCTCGTGAGTTGAAGAATGCATGCAAAACATGGCGGGAGATGGGTGGGGGTTGGCCAGCCCTCGCTTCGAGGAAAACCCTCTTCTCCCATCCTTACAAGGTGCTGCGAAAGATTTCCGGGTGAGTCTCTGATGATCTGGGAAACAGTTGTCCTGGCAAAAAGGTTTTTTGGGAAAGCGAACCCTATCGTAGGACCACAATTAAGCAAGGATCACTTACAGCTTTTTCGAGGAACAGACTGTCCCCCGATAAGTGGTAGGTGCTCAGCAGGCCCCCCAGGATGCGAATGGCACTCTCAAAGAGGTTGACGTCCACGTTCTTATCAAACCTGAGCTCGGTGGCGACCCACTTCCTGGCGTCCTCAAACTCTGTTGTCAGGGAAGGAAGCTAGAGATTAACAGCGCACCCTCGTTTTACGTTTTTTGTTTTGGTGGGGCTTGGAGGAGACTCCAGAAAGCGTGCATTCCTGTGACACACAAGGAATGAGCGACGGGGAGAGAAGAGGAAAAATGTCTGAAAGATCAGCACTTGTGAGAACAGGCGGGAGGGAGATGGTTTAGGCAGGAAAAGCTTTGTTGACATGGTAGCGCGTGAAGGGCTGGTCCTGAAACAACTGCCAGGAGGAGGAGAACTTCTAAAAAAGCACACTGAGCAGAAGAGGTGCAGGGCAGAAAAAGAAGCCCTCCTGATGAACTGAGGCGGCTCATGGCCAATAAAGCCTCCAGCGGGAAGTGGGCCCTCCCTGGACAGATTTAGCACCCTGGGAGCTGAGACAGGTGTCCTTCTCTGCCTCCCAGCTATGGAAGGATAAGAGACAGGGCCTTTCTCTGTGGTGGCCCCTGAACTGTGGAAGCACCAGGAGGACACTTTAGCCTCCACCAGAGACATCACCAGGAGAACGGTGGAAACGCATCCCAAAGCGACAATCAGAGAGAAAGCCAGGCAGACCTTCCTTCAAGCCTAGGATCCACATGGTGTCCAGGGCGTCGATGATGGTCAGTCCCAGGCCGAACCACTCGTTGAAGGACTTGGAGATGGGCTTCAGCTCATCGTGGCCCCACGCGAACTCCTTGTACCCTTTCCAGGCATGGCGGAAAGCCTCGATCACAGCCACCTGGCGCTCGTTCAGGGGCACTAAGAACAGGAGACCAGAGTTTGGCCTTGGCAGGGCAGTGACGCTGATCCCCCAAGGGGCCCTCTGGACATCAGTTTAGCCCCAAAGGGAGGAGGATCACCGTGTGTCTTTGCTAAAGGGGGGGAGGAGAAAGGAAGCCCAAATGAGCACACCCACCAACGTATCTGGACTCAATGGGTGCCTCCGACATGCATCCATCTGCTGCTCTTTTTCTTTTTTTTACTTTCGCTATCTAATTATTGAAATATTTCTAACCACGCTACACTGCAGGATTTTAGGGCGAGGCACAGAGGATAACAAAATTTGAAAAGAATCTAAAACAACAGGAAACATTTGGGAAAGAGTCTAGAACAACTCCAAAGTTCAGCAGTAGCACTCTAAAAAGAAAGGGCCCTAGAACTAAACACCTGAGGGGTTAAAAAAAAACTACCAGTTTCCAGATGCATGGAACTACCTCTCCCATCATAGTCAGTCTGTGTTACTTGGGGGATGATGGGCTTTATAGTCCATTCAGATTGGCTGCCCAGTGGGGATAAGAGTCTACCTCATGGAAGCTGAAGGCAGAGGGAAAGGGAAGGGGGAGAGGCGTTGGCATGCAGGCCCCACCCTCACCTGGCTCTTTCTGGTCTTCAGGTTCCACCAGGACAGGCTTGCCAGGATCCTTCCCTTGGTGGGAAGGCGGCTCTGGGCTCTGATCGGGCTCAATCATGGCTCCTCTCCAGCTGCAAAAGGGGAATGGCTCCAGTCAGACCGACATTCGTCACACCGGCTGGCCGGAGATGTGGAATCTGGCTTTTTTCTCTTCTCCCAAGAAGTAAGCTTTGAGCTTTGCAGAGCTGCTCCTCAAACAGAAGAGGAGAACTCTGCAAGGGTTTAAATCTTGCCCAAACTTTAAAATCTCTTCCCCACTTTGGGAAAATCTGAACCTCTTTCAGCCCCCACTACCTGATGACAGGCTTCTCCGTTTTGAGTCCCTTATCGGTCTGGCCAAGCCGTTCCTCAGCGTCAACCGCTCTGTCTTCTGACTGCACCCTCGTCTCTCTCTGGGGGGCTCTGATCTGCAGGTTAGGAGGCCCCCGCCGGACAGGAGGAAGCCTTGGAGGTTTCTGAGGAAAGGAAGAACAACAAAAAAAGCCTGTCTGCAAAAGCAGGATTTGATCAAGTAGACTCATTTAAAGAGCCACGCGCTTCCTTGCTTTAATAGGGAAAAATGGCAGGCAAGCAAGGAACACACCGTTTTTTTTTTTCTCGCCCCCGCCCTTACTTTTAGGTCCCTAACTAACAGATAATCTGCTCAAAGGACCACCACTGTGTGCCCCCCCCAGGTTCCTAATACTGGTTAAGAGATCTGGGGTGCCCCAGTAAAAAAAAAGTGCTTCCAAGGCTCAAGTGAGAGAGTCGGCAAAACAAGGGATGTCAAAACAAGGCGCCCAGCACATGAAATAAGAGGAAAGCTCCCTTCTGCCGACCATGCAGGGGAAGGATTCCGTTTCATATTCTGACTCCCAGGGCACGGCCCTTTGCTAGTCCAGGGGCTTCCTTATTTCTGGGAGAGTAAAAGCCGCGCGAGTCTATTGGGGCGAAACCAACGAGGAGACCAGTAGGCTCCTTCAGGACCCAAACTTTTTATAGGGCACTGCAAGACTTTTCGTTGAACTTGCCGGAGGATCAGCGTTTATTAGAAAAAAACGGTTTCCCTTCTACCAGGAAAACTGGGAAGATGTTAACTCATCCGTAATAAGGAGCAGGCAGTGGATAAGGAACAGTGGCACGCAGCAGGCAAACGTCCTGATCTAAGAAATGGTAGTAACTAAAGCCCTCGTGGAGGCAGGGGGAGCAATTACTTGAAGCGAGACTTCTCCCGGGTTGGTGTCGGCTTTTTGGGGTATGGGGAGAATGGCCTGGTTTGCCGGATTCAACCCGGGGATCTCCAAGTCGGCCTTCAGTCCCTCCAAAGATCTGTTGCTGGTACCTGTGGGGAGAAAAAACACCAGCGGTGAACACTACCTGATGCAATGCCATGAAATAAGAGGCAGAGTGTGCGTAAGGAGCTCATCCACGGAGTGACAGTCATGGGCTTTGAGAAGGGAGAAGGGGAGGGGAGCCACAGGAATCAAAAGGGTTCACTTTTCTATCAAATGGCTCCGTTTCCAGCACCCCAGAAATGGCAGCCAGGGATATAGGCTTGAGAGCTTTGATACAATCCAGCCTGAAAAATCGGGGCCAGCGTTAGTTTAACTTGTATAACAGTAACAGAAAGCATCCCGAAGCGGATGGAAGTGGGTGCCCTAAATTTCATGGCGCTGATTCCAATTTTCCCCATTGCTGGTTCAGCACCCCTCTTATCGATATATGAAGCCACCTATCAGAAAGGCCCAGGAGAAGTCCCCGTCCCGAGAAGCTTCCATTAAGTATTACAGGCTGCCTTCCTATACCTGGCAGTGAGACCCACTGAACTCTACAGGGCTTCCTTCTGCACAAACATTACACAGAGAACTGGGCGCTGTTAGTGCTTTCAAAACCACCAAGGACTCCAGGCCTTTGGTAATAACGGCAGCACACGAAAAGAGACCTACTTTTCCAGGGTTCGGCCATGTTCGCGTAAGTGATGACTCCGCAGACGGCCAGGAAGGCAAATGTGAAGAGGATCACACTCCGCTGGAGACGGGACAGCTGCTTCCATTTCTGACAAGGAAACAACATCATACCAAATATCTTTAGTCTGTCAGGTGAAACACACCGATACACAAGAGGTGGCTGCCATGAGCTCTCACAAGCTGTTGCTCAAAGCTGCCGGGCTGGTACTCCGTTTCTCTTCTCGCAGGCCAGATACGAGAGGCAGGAAGACGTGTTCCGCTCTGATAATTTACACAGCGTTTCTTTAACATACGTGGCATTTTACAGCACGCGCGCACGCACACACACAAAACCCTGCCAGAAAGGATTTAGCTGCTTGGGAGGCTGAGACAGAAAAGAGGGCAAGCCAACACATTTACAGACACTGTGATTGCGGTGCATTGGGGGATGATGATCAGGAGCAAAGGAGGGCATTGGGGGGGGGGAAGCATAAGAGACTTCAGATTGGATCAGACTGCTGGTCATGTTCTCTCTCCCCGTTTTCAGCAAGACATCCTCAGGTTGCTCACAAGCAGATCAAGAAGACAAACTGACCTTATTGTAGGATGTCTCAGAACTTGGTAGCTGACAGGTAAACTGCCTTTGGTTGGGGAGGCTCAACACACACAGCCAGCATAGCTACTGATGGACTGGTAGGTTTTATACAGGAACACAAAGGGCATGATTCAGCTCAGCAGTAAATAGACCATTTTAAATGCAACAGAGGCAGACTAAAGGGGACCTTTTAAATCCCAAAATGGACTTTGTTTTGTTCCTCTGAGGCCTGTGTTCATTCTCAGCCCTTGGTTCTTGTGCTTGGAATGTAGACGTTATACTGGCCCTTATCTCTGAGAATTGAGGTGTGCCAAAGGTTCAAATGCCAGTGGCCGAAAATGAAAGACCTTAGAACAGTACTTAAAAACAACAACACACACACACACCCCTGTTGATCCTACAAGCCTGAAAATCTACCCAAGCCTTCTGCAGGCTCAAGGAACACAAGAGTCATATCTGAGACACCTACACACACAGAGAGACACACACAGAGAGAGAGAGAGAGAGATAGAGAGAGAGAGAGAGAGACCAGTTGCCTTGTACTCTCGGTGCTGCCAGCCTCCGCTCCTGCCTTAATAACAACAATAATTTAAAGAAAAGCGTGACTGTTCTTACGCACTGCCTGATTCATCCGTTCCGTCCCCAGGCCTCCCTGTGACTCTGTCCCACTCCTCTGCAATTGTGGCTCGGAGGCGGTCCCCAAAGCAAACAGCCGCCACTTAGCTGCTGCTCGGTGTTTCGACTTTTCAAGGGGGTGAGAAGGCCTGCCATCTCCCTTGGGGAGGGTTTGCGGGGGGGAGGCGAAAGAGAGGCGCAGCTTCTGACCCTTTGAGAGGGGGACGCACCTGCTGCCGGGGAGGGTGTACACAAGCTGCCTGCGGAGCAAACCTTTTGCCTCTCGCCTCCCTCGCTTTCTCTGGCCCCCTTTCAAAGCCGTCCAAGCTGGCAGCCGTCGCCCGCTCTTGAAGCCCTGCTGTGGGAAGGATTTCCGATGATTTGCCCCAAATAGGCCACAGGCAGGATGGCTACCTCTTGAGTATGGATAGCTGGGGAGCAGCATCCACAGCCTTTCCATGCTGCCTGTGAGACAGTGGGTCAGCTGCTATGGGGAACAGGATCCAGACCATACAGAGGACCCTCGTCCTCATCCAACAGGATCATCCTGCATTCTGACTTGCTGTGAGGAGGCAGTGCAGAACAGAAATCTCCATGTTCAGAGCCCTCTGCCTGCAGAGACCAGGCAGGTGCTGGGGGCAAATATTGAGAATCAACGTGGTGTAGGACTTAAGGGGCTGACCTGAGACTTGGGAGGTCCAGCTTCCCAATCCCACTGCACCACGAAGCTTCAACTGGGTAGTCTACCTTGCAGGGCTCGTCTTGCGAGACAAAATTGGGTAGAAATCAGACCATATACACACCACCCTGGCCTTGCTGGAGGAGGAAAAGTCAAGGATAAAGGCAACGAATCATGAATAAAACAAAGGAAAGGGACAGAATTGTGAAAGGCAACAGCCTAAAACTGGCGAGGTGCAACCAGCTGTTTCAAGGATGGGAGGTTTAGGGCTTTGCCCTCGATGGGAAACACAGTCCCAAAACATCTGGAAAGCCCCATGCATCTAAATTTAAACTCAGGGCTTATGGCTTGAAAACCATTCCGACAGATGTTATTTTTGTTTCGTTTTGAATCAAAGAAGAACACTGCTGTTTGTTTTCGTCTTGTGTTTTCTGTCCCTATTCTCTGAGTAACAGTCAAAAATAAAAAACCATTTATGTGTGTCATCCATAATGTCACCATTTTAAAGGAACAACACACCTTTAGCCCAGTGTCAGCAAGCACAATAATAACAAACCGCCAACAACAACAAAACTCCAAAGCATTCATTCAGCCGGCTGTTGTAGCTTTCCAGGTGCATCAGAGGGCGGGAACACAACAGGTACAGCTTTTCAAGAACCGTAAGGCGGGGGCAAGGGCCGCGATCCAACGGGTACAGCTTTTGCAGAGACTTCATAGACACGTAAGAGGGTAAGAACCCAACGGATGCGACTTTTATAAGGGCCCACGAGGGCAGGGACTCAACAGGCACAGCAATTTCAATGCCTAGCCAGGCAGCAACCCAACCGGTGGAGCTCTTCTTCCAGCGACATGAGGGGAAATGCAATGGCCAGGGAGGGCTCGAGCAGCCTCCTTGGAGAAGTCCAACACCCATAATCCCCTCAAGGGCTTGAGGGGGGGGGATTTCAACCTACCCCTTCCCACCCTCCCAAAGCCCCTTCCTGCCAGAATGGCTGCACTTCCCACCCCCGCCTGCAGAGGGCGCGCCCTCCCTTCTTGCCTCTCCCGCAAGGGGGCGCAGGCGGGCCGCTCTCCCCCTCCTCCTCCCCCCCGC